CCGAAAATTTTCATTAAATAATCGCGTTACTGTTTTATACCCTCTTTGTTGATCTCCCCATCCTCGCATCATTAACAGTGTTATTCGATCTCTTTCAGAATGCTCCGCCATTCTTAATTAGAGCAAAGAAGAATTAATCAGGTAAGTGATAGGAAATTGATCTAAATAATTAAGTAAAGAAAAATACTAATTATTAAGTGTTGGTCCAACTATCGATTTGTTTATTTCAACCAGCACTAGCAAAAAGCTCGTTGAGCAACTGAAAATCTAATAGATCAATTAATAATATTTACGAAAAAATTCTGGGCTATTGGAAACAAAATAAAGATGTTTGGGACAATCAATTGAAGCGCAATGGCTTCTTTTGTTACAGAAACAATTTTTGGGGCTGTTCGTTTTCCTTCACGAAGTGACTGCTGCTCTCTAAGAAGAAGACAGCACTGCATCAAAGATTCAAACCAGTGATCCGCATTGTTTGCTCAAGAGCTTGTATTACTATTGGTGCCTGCAAGAGTGAGATAATAAAGATCGGCCCCGCCAATGCTTTCGGGCAGATTCCCGCTAACGTCTTCGAACATCACACATTCGAGCAGCTTCTCACGATCATCTTCGGGCAATTTTCCGTCATAGCCTACTAGTATAACCGCTTGAAGCCGTACAACTTTGCTATTGGACATTTTTCCAAAATGCATTCTTACTGAAAATATTAGGGGAAGCCGATACTTTTCGATTAATGTATTTTCTTTAAACCAATTAATTGGTCTCATTATTTCGCGCACAAAAGTATTAAGGTTATGATTACTGAAAACTAAATAATATTTTACAAGATATTTTACATTTTGTGTCAAAAAATTGTTAACTTCAAACCTTTATAACTCAAAAAGTACTTAATGAAAAAATATTTTATTATAGTGTTTTGGAAAGCTCTCGAGATAAGCTATAAAAATATACAATAAAATGTTGGGGGTTCCGTTAAAAAAAAAAGGTTGACCTTGAAATGACCTTGAAGGACATGGTCAAGGTCAAAGTCAAGGTCATCATCTTACCCCCCTCTTGAAACCATACAACTTTGCTATTGGACATTTTTTCCAAAATGCATTCTAACTGAAGATATTAGGGGGGTCCGATACTTTTCGATGACCCTGTATAATATCTGTTTTTCAAAATTGCGTAGTTTTGAAAATATTAAAAGGTTTCCACATACTTAGAAGACCATGTATAGCTTTCAATGTTATATAGCTCCTAAGCTATCACACGGCTTCTATCAGGTGCGTAATACTTAATTCTCGATCCCTAACTTCAATCGATGATAGTACCTATTTAAATTCATATATCTTTGCTATCATATAGTCATACTAAAGTGCCATCTTTAAAATGCTTTAAAAGCTTTAAAATGCACTATAATAGTTGATAATTCTACTAGCATAACCTAACCTAAAAAAGCAGTTGTGCAAGCAATGTCGTTCGAGAAGCAATATTTGAGGTACTGCTTTCTTTTTACCTTTCAACTAAAAAAAAAGTGCTGCTGAAACCCAGGCAGTGATTTATGCGGCTTTGGGAAAAGACGCTATTTCTTACAGTATTTATAAGAAGTTGTTCCAGCAGTTTAAGAGTGGAAATTTCGATCTTTATGATGAAAAACATCTTAGACAGCTGAAAAAAAGTTAAAGATGAGGAATTGAAACAACTTTTGGAAAAGAATTCCTGTCACATACAGTCAGAGCTCGCAAATTAACTCGGAGTAACATGGCAGGCCATTCTAAGCGTCTACATAAGCTTGGAATGATTCATAAGGAGGGCCGTTGGGTTCCCCATATATTCACAGCTGAGAACAAAAGTAGATGTATGATATTGTTATGTCGTTGCTCTCCAGATTTAAGAAAAAGAACTTCCTGCACAAAAATGTAACCTGCGATGAAAAATAGATCCTCTATGATAATCCAAAAAGGTAAAAATCGTGAGTTTATCTGGTTGAGCCTTTGATCAATATCACAAGATCGAATATTCATGCCAAGAAGGCTGTTGCTATGTTGCAATGTTGCTGACCCTCTATCCCAAAAATAACCGGAATGGCTCTATTTTAACGAAATTAGTGACGTCTTCTGTTGGTGGGAGATTGAGTTAGGAAGTATCAACCTTTCTTAATAACCTATAAAAACTTAATGACATTTTGTTCACTAGAAGCCAAGGTCCAATGCATTTAAGTGATATTAGTTTGATACCTCGGTCGAAAAACGAATAAAAAACGAAGAATCAACATTAATTTCTGTATTAAAAATGGTAAAAGTGCTACGGAAACGCCCTAAATGCTTAAAATGGCTTATGGAAATAATTGTTTATCACAAACACAATTTTTTAAATGGCATCGACGATTCAGAGAATGCAGAGGGAATGTGGACGACGATAAACATTCAGGCCGATCAATTGAAACGATGACCGAAAAAAATGTTGAAAAAGTGCATGATTTCGTGAAAATTTCGAAAAACGGTTAATGCTCAGTATTATCTTGGTATATTGAAGCGTTTGCCTAGGCTGTATTTGTCGTGTTCGTCCTGAATATCAAGAACCAGGCAGTTGGCGATTGTTGCATGATAATGCACCTTCTCATCGTTTATCAATTGTCACTGATTTTTTGACCAAAAATCAAATTTTATTGTTTCAACATCCCCGTATTCACCCGATTTGGTACCCTGCGACTATTTTCTATTCCCTAAGCTGCATTTAGCGATGAAAGGAAACCGTTTGACATAAATTGAAGACATTCAACGGTCAACGACAGGTAATCTCAACACTATTCCAATCAGCAACATAAAAAAGTCATTTGACGTACTTCTGGAACGTGCAAATCGTGCAATATTTCTGCTGAGGGAAAATATTTCGAATAAATAAAATGATTTTTATCAAAGTTTCTTAACTATTTTTGTTTTTTAAAGCCATTCCGGTTATTTTTGGGACAGAGGGCGTATATGGTGAGATCAGCAAGACGTGCATTATGAGTGTACCAACCACTGATCTTTTCTCCAACCTAACCTAACCTGGTGAAACAGTCATTACTCAACGTTATCAGCAACAACTGATTCGTGTTAGTGACACATTGGAAGAAAAAAGGCCTTATATATGTAAGGGAAGAAGGAAGGTCATTTTGGTTCAGAACAATGCGCAGCCATACACAATAAAAATGACTTTGGAAACGATCACCGACTTGGGCTGGCCGGTGTGAAGTTGGCACCTCATCTTTTAGCACCGCAAGTTTTAACGATAGTTCTATTGACACAATAGTTCTACAGTTCCTGATAGGTTATATCAATAATTCCGCCGAATTAGTTAACAAAATGGCAGATTGAAAATATGAGGTGCTAACTTCCCGTAGCACCGTAACTGCCAGAAAAAGCCATTTCAAGCACGAAATCTTATAGTTCTAGAATAGTTCTATAGTTCCTGATATGTTTTAGCAAAAGTTCTGACTTCTAACCATTTTTAAATAATTTTTGGAACTTAGCGCAAGCATCGCACCACAAGAGTAAAGTATCAGTTTGCTGGCAGTTCTAGCCGACTTCTGGGTTTCTTTTAGTAGTTCTACAATAGTTCCAACGCTTTAAGTGGGTTTCGTTGCGGATGCCGGCATTTAACTATTTTTAAATAATATTTGAAACTTAGTGCCAGCACTGCACCACAAGAGTAAAGTATCAGTTTGCTGGCAGTTCCAGTCGACTTCTTATTTTTTTTTAGTAGTTCTACAATAGTTCCAACGCTTTAGGTAAGTTTCGTCGAAGGTATTGGCGTTCATCTATTTTTAAATAATTTTTGAAACTTAGCGCCAGTACCGCATCACAAGAGTAAAGTATCAGTTTGCTGGCGGATTGAACTACTAAATGAGACCAAGAAGTTGGCTGGAACTGCCAGCAAACTGATACTTTACTCTTGTGGTGCGGTGCTAGCGCTAAGTCTAAAAAATTATTTAAAAATAGTTAAATGCCGGCACCCGCAACGAAACCCACTTAAAGCGTTGGAACTATTGTAGAATTACTAAAAGAAACCCAGAAGTCGGCTAGAACTGCCAGCAAACTGATACTTTATTCTTGTGGTGCGGTGCTGGCGCTAAGTTCCAAAAATTATTTAAAAATGGTTAGAGGTCAGAACTTTTGCTAAAACATATCAGGAACTATAGAACTATTCTAGAACTATAAAGTTTCGTGCTTGAAGTAGCTTTTTTTGGAAGTTGCGGTGCTACGGGAAGTTAGCACCTCATATTTTCAATCCTTTTTTTTTTGGTCACGCAGGGGAAATCCATCATAGATACCCCCTCCCCTTGGGGGGGGAGGGGGTTATGTCGGACTCTTACCGACTAAAACCCCTGCGGAATGTCTACCTGTCGGACCGTGAGGAGGGGAGTCGGGGGACCTCATATTTTCAATCTGCCATTTTGTTAACTAATTCGGCGGGACTATTGATATAACCTATCAGGAACTGTAGAACTATTGTGTCAATAGAACTATCGTTAAAATTTGCGGTGCTAAAAAATAAGGTGCCAACTTTACATCGGCCTTGGGTTGGGAGATTTTACCGCACCCAGCATATTCTCCAAACTTTACCTCTTCGGATTATTACCTCTTCAAATCCCTGCAACATCAGTTAGCTGATATCCACTTCACTTCTGTCGAGAATGTCGATAAAAGTATTGTTGAGTTTATTTATTCAAAATCTCTTTTTTTCGAAATGGAATTCGACAGCTCCTCGAAAGATAACGCAAATGTATAAAAAGTGAGAAGGATTATTTCGAAGATTAGGTAACTATCCGACTGTTTATAAATTGTCGACAGTTCATTAAAATGGTCGAGAACTAAGTTGCGCATTTAATAATTCCTAAAAGAAATCTTTGATTTTGTCTTTCAACTTGACATAACCTTTTAATTGTTTATAGAACAATATTTCTAAATTTTCTGATGATAATGTACTAACTAATGGTAATATACGTATACCTATAAAAAATATTATCTTACCCTGTTTTCTCGGAATTATATCTTTCTTTATCCAAATATTATCGAATGTGTCAGTGAATTCCTTCGTTTTATTACTTAAAGTCTTCGAATTTCTTCCAGAATTTACATTGGTATAAATTGTTACCTTTGTACGACGTAATTCTTCTTTATCAATCATTGTATCTCCTAGTCCAGTGAATACAGATCTCATATTTGTTCTGAAAATAACATAAATATATATCAATTTACGTCTCAAATTTTTTTCTCTAAACAATTAAATTACAATCTTACTATGAAGAATATAACTAATCACACACACATACGGACGAGTGCTCGCACGAAGTTATTAATTAATTATTCTTGTTTATTATTAGGAAGTTATATATCCAATTCAGATGTAGAATACGACGTAAAAAGATATGTAAATCTTCATAAACAATAAATGTAAAAATTATACAATTAATAGCAAAAATAAGTAAAATTGTGTTCCCACAAAAGTTTAATAGATTTTAAATAAATATACAAATTATTGTAATATTATAAAGCACTATTGTAATATCAAGAGGCACGGTAATGCCTCGCGCCAAGTTCAGTGCGACAAAGTGCGCCCGAATTGCACGAGGTAAGCCTATATTTACGTAAAATTGCGAGTTGAAACGAAGTGTTCATATCTCAGCAATGGCTGAACCGATCGAGGGTTTTTAGTCTCAATCGATTCGGCCTTAAGGCAGTATCCTGGTTTAGAAGGTCAAAAAAATCGACCTTTTTTTTTGTTTAAATCGATAGTTTAACTATTGAAAAATATGTTCTCAAAGTTTTAAAGACCGTTGGGACATATTACGAAAGTTACAGAGCCGAGAGCAAATAAGCGTCGCGCAGCTAGAAAAACGCTTAGCCGAAGCGAGCCGCTCTCACCTATTTTTTAGCTTTTTTTTTATAATGCATAGCAAAGATTCAAAATGGTTTATATAACAATATTTTGGCTTCTTACTAATCTAAATATAGATTTAATGTAGTCTGTATTTATGTAAATAAATAAGAGTTACCTGTGTTTATACTTTTTACATGTTTATACTTTTAGTTGCTTGTAGCGTCAACAGTTAGTTTTGCTCCGATTTTTGATGCACAAACATTTGAAGCAATATACAATATACCCAAAAAGTTCAAAAACCAGTTCCAAACGGGCAGCGGACCAACAAAACGAAAATTTCATGGAAATCGTTTTATTAATAAAGACGAACGTGAAAGCTTACATGAAAGCATAACGGCAAAAAAATTGTATGATATATCTACTGATTCTATTGTGAGTAATCCTCTTCATAACTATAGAATCATTGAATTTCTAAGTGTCTTTGGCGCAATTGCCGAGATTGTATTGTGCAAAACGTGCAAAGAAACTGTTAAGTTCGAAGAGAGTAACAATCGAGGCTTAGATTTCAAATTGATTATTACGTGTATATGTGGTCGCAGGGAAATTAATTCAGGGCCGTTGATCAATACCGGATATGAAATTAACCATAGAATAGTTTTTGTTATGCGACTTCTTGGTATTGGACGAAAGGTATAAGCATTTTTTGCGGTCTTATGAATCCGTGCCAAGGAATATCAAAATCAACTTATGATGGAATAGTGAAACACATTCACTCGGCGATGTCATCAATGTTTGAAATTGTAAGCAAGAAAGCTGTTGAAGAGGAAAAGAAGGAAAATATTCAGAAAGACCTGAAACGCATTTAAAAGTGTCCGGTGACGGATCTTGGAAAAAACGCGGCTTCGCTTCCTTGTACGGCGTAATAACGCTTATCAGTTATTACAGTGGCAAAGTAGTCGATATTGACACAAAAAGTTCATACTGCCAAGCATGTGGAGCAAAATAATGCAAAATAAAATGGAACACTATGTGGAGCAAAAAGAAAGACACCGACGAATACACGGAATGGTATGAAAAACATGAAGAAAAATGTGTCAAGAATCATGAAGGTTCGGCGGGAAAAATAGAAGTGGATTCGATCGTTAAAATGTTTTCAACGTCTGAAGCAAAATTCGGAGTGAAATATACGGATTATATCGGAGACGGTGATTCGAAAACTTTTTTGAATATTTTGAAAACTAATTCATATGGCAATAAATATCCCGTGAAAAAAAGTGAATGCGTGGGACACGTGCAGAAGAGAATGGGTACACGCCTCTGCAACATAAAGAAAAAAGAAAAACTGGGCGGAAAGGAACGACTGACGGACGTACTTATTAAAAGATTAACAAACTATTACGGCTTAGCTATAAGAAAAAATGTGGATTCCGTTGTTAGTATGAAAAAAGCAATAATGGCAACATTAGATCATTATTGCTCAACGGATACGAAACCAAGGCATGCAAACTGTCCTGAAGAAGCCGACAGTTGATGTGAGTGGCGTCAAGCCGAAGCCACAGATTAATTACAATCTTTTAAGCACCCGCCACCAGTTATTCATCCGGATGTTGGAAAACATATTACGCCTATCTATAAGGATCTTTGCAAGGACGATCTGTTGTCAAGATATTTGGGCGGATATACACAGAATTCTAACGAGAGTTTTAACTCTACTGTGTGGTGCATCGCTCCAAAACACCTTAATTCGGGCGCTAAAATCGTAAAACTGGTTGCTTACATTACTGTAGGTATGTTTAACGAAGATTACACTGCTATTTTAACTATGATGAATTTGCTGGAACTCAATATTGGCCAGCAGTGTAAGATTTTCGCTGATCTATACGACGCGCGCTGAATTACACGAGAAGGTCAGCGTCAACGAAGCAACAGCAAGGAGGCTCGTACAGCACGTACAATGCAGGAAATGCAGGAACAAGATTTTTTTGAACAAGCTGAAGGACTCTTGTATGGACCTGGAATAGCTGATTAAGATTAGATTATTGTAAGTAACGAATAAGAATTGATATTGTTTTCTAGCGAAAACTTTAACTCGCGTTTTCTCGAAATATTAGTTTTGTGATTTTATTAGGTGCGCAACTAAGTTCCCGCTGTTTTTCAAGAGATGGCTCCAGTAGTAAGTGCTGGTCGATTGTGACATAACCAAAACGTCATGAACCAAGCTTAGACATATGGTAAACAAACCGCTTTGACACATTAGTGATTTTGTTTTTGCGTCATATACTTTTGGTTGTGTGAAAATGTCTTATTTTGTGCCAAATAATCGTCATTTGCGGGAAGTGTTGCTTTTCTTCTTTCATCCGAAGAAAACGGCGGCTGAAGCGCATCGAGAACTCCAAAAAGTTTACGGAGATGCTGCTCTAAGTGAAACAACGTGCCGTGATTGGTTCCGTTGCTTCAAAGACGGTGATTTCGATGTTGACGACCGTTCGCGTGAAGGAAGGCCAAAAATCTTCGAAGACGCTGAATTGGAGGCATTGCTCGATGAGGATCCGTGCCAAATGCAAAAAGAGCTTGCTTCAGCATTAGGAGTTACCCGCCAAGCCATTTCCAAGCGATTGCATGCGTTGGGAATGATTCAAAAACAAGGAACTTGGGTTCCTTATGATTTGAAGCCAAGAGACGTTGAGCGTCGTTTTTTCGCCTGTGAACAACTGCTCCAGCGGCAAAAAAGGAAGGGTTTTCTTCATCGCATCGTTACGGGTGATGAAAAATGGATTCATTACAGCAACCCAAAGAGAACAAAATCATGGGGACTGCCCGGTCATGCTTCTACGTCGTCGGCTCGGCCGAATATTCACGCTGCGAAGGTTTTGCTGTGTATTTGGTGGGACCAGGGCGGTGTTATTTATTATGAGCTGTTGAAACCGAACGAAACCATCACTGGGGAACGGTATCGAACTCAATTGATGCGATTGAGCCGAGCACTGCGCGAAAAGCGGCCACAATACGAGCAGAGGCACGAAAAAGTGATTCTACAGCATGACAACGCTCGGCCTCACGTTGCCAAACCTGTTAAAACCTACTTAGAAACGCTCAAATGGGAAATCCTACCCCACCCGCCATATTCCCCAGATATTGCGCCGTCCGATTATTACTTGTTCCGTTCGATGGCACATGGTCTGGCTAATCAGCAGTTTCGTTCATATGAAGACATCTCAAAATGGCTTCATTCGTGGATAGCCTCAAAAGACGAACACTTCTACCGTGACGGTATTCGAGCTCTGCCAGAAAGATGGGAAAAAGTTGTCGCTAGCGATGGGCAATATTTTGAATGATTCATTTGTAACCATTTTTTTCACAATAAAGTTGCATTTTCATCAAAAAAACAGCGAGAACTTAGTTGCGCACCTAATACTAAATTGACGAACAAGATAGCAAAAAAACTATTTTACCTATCAACCCAAACCAAAGTTTATTCTCTAGAGTATTGTTAATTATCCTAAATGAACTAAAAAAACGATCAGAATTTAATTTAAACAATTTCTGTTGCATAGAGAACGCAAAATTTTTCTTTTAATATTGTCACTTTTTCGTTTAAGTTCGTACATTTGTATGATTTTATGCTTTTTTCTTAGTTTTTTTAGTTCATCGATTATAAAAATACATGTAAATTAAAAATATTTTTGGTTTTTTTGTTTTAGACAAAAATTACGAACTCCATTTGTCCCGCCAATCGGAGCGAGGCGTTTTGATTGCCAGGTAACAACTCCGCCCCATTTTTAAATAATTTGACAATAAAAAAATTTTTTGTATTGCTAAAATGTATATTAATATGTAACTAAACGTTTACAGAAATTATTTCATTCTCTTTGAAAAAATTCCCGAAAATCACCGATTTTTTCGCCTTCTAAACCAGGACACTGCCTTAAAAAATAGGAAGAAAAGTGTTCTTGTGTTTTTTGTGTAGGTTGTCTCTAAATGGAGATATTTTAAGATAAAGTCTGAATCATGGAAAATTTCGATTCAGTAAGAAAGTATGAAACGCTAGACGTTTAAGATTGGGGATATGTGCATCTCCCGACACCAGAGGCGTTAAAGAAGCAGGCAGCAGCGAGTGCGAGTGAGCAAACGAGAGAGAGAAAAAAATATGCTAGAATATAGGAAAAAATATACGAGAGAGGGGAGAGAGAAGCGTGGGAGAAGGGTGAGAGAGAGAGAATCTCTAAAGATAATAAAGTAAGAATATTACGAGGGTCGTTCAATAAGTCCTTAGAAAAAGATAGAAAAACAAATTATTTTGGGTAGATTTTTTTTTATTTTTCAACATAATCTCCTTTTAGCTCTATA